GCCACAGAGACTGGTGAAACGTTAGGAAGAACAGCCTTCAGAACATGGCCAAAGAGCCCGAAAAACCCACAACCATTAGATGCTGGCCATGAAAGTCTTTATGATCTCTTTCACAAGTAAGGAATTTGGGAGGAGGAAGTGGGAAGCCGGAATCTGAGAAGCTTAGCTCTTCCTCCATCACTCCTGAAAACTCATTCAGAGCATGCCTGGGACACATATGGCCTATATGTTCCATGTGACCCCCAAAGCCAACTGGTCTGTATATACAGAAGAAATATATTTGCATTTATTGCTGGTTTAACCTTATTATTCATGATTTAGAACCAACCTTTCCCTTCATACATATAATCTGTGATCCTTCAATAAAAATCATTTTTGTTTAAACTCTCTCCTTATTTATCTTAAAAATATCTAGGATCCTATAAACCAGATTACAGACAATAATGCACGTCACATGACATTACACTTTATCAGGAGGAATGTCGTGATTAATTATATCTGAAAAGCCCTTTAACTAAAGATCTGAAATCTCTGAAACATCTGTGAGAACCTCTGTGAGAACCTCTGAGGAGTGTGTGACCCCTAGTCACAAAATAGTGTAATCGCTTTCTGAGGTGGAATGTTGCATTTAGTAGTTCAGTAATTTGGGTGAGTATATGCTATGTCTTAAGAGGAAGATTAGGTTCATAAGCATTGATGAGCCCCAAGCTGGTAGTACTAAAAGTGTTTTTTTTTTGCATTTTTGGGTTAATGTGCTACTGACACTTCAATATACCAGCAAAGATGATACATTTCTTTTACTGAATTCACACTCCATGCAGTCACTAAACTAACTAGTGGCAGAAGTTGACAAGGAAGGAAGGAAGGAAGGAAGGAAGGAAGGAAGGAAGGAAGGAAGGAAGGAAGGACTCAGTTAATCTCTTGTACTTTCTCTGCCTTTTCCTCAGACTGCAAGTAGCTGGAAAAGCAAGGAGATGAGTAATCCTTAAAATGCCAGCACAGAAGCCCACAAAATACTGGATGTGTTGCTCTTGCTCAGACATACTTCCTGTCTTTACTTCCAGCCACTAACATGCAGGGTGGGCTGTCCTGGAGATTGATGCAGGTGAACTCGCCCAAGGAGCTGCCTAGCTGTGTCATGCACTGGCCCGTCTCCAGGTTATACAAAAGGATCTGGAAGAAATGTCACAGAAAGGTTCATGGTCATTGCAAGCAGCATCAATTCATTACTTCTTCCAAGCATGGTGAAAGGACAAGAGGGTGCCCCTGTCTCCCCGCTTTGTCCTGCAATAGCAACCAGACTGGGGATTAGACTTTGTCTAAAAGGGCAGGATAGAAATCAAATAAATAAACAAACAAACAAACAAACAAATAAATAAACAAACAAACAAACAAATAACTTCAGTGCTGAGATAGAACAGCATCCGAACAAACAAACAAACAAACAACAAATAAATTACTTCAGTGCTGAGATAGAACAGCATCCTTTACTGTATCTCAGGATAGCTGGCTAGTCTAAGGAGGTGCAGAGAAATCTACCTGGCTAGAACATATACATCCATCTTTCCAAAACAAAACAAAAAAGAATCAACCAGGTGCTCTAAATGAGGCTGCCTCCATGCCCCTCACCTGATATCTCCTGAGGCAATTGCCTCAATCTGCCTAATGGCAGGGCTGGATGTCACTAACAGCAGCAGTTAGCAACTCCACTGGCTGCCAATCCGTTTCTGGGCAAAAATCAAAGGGATGTCTTTAACTTATAACGCCATAAATTCCTTTATGAGCCTGCCCGAAAGTTAATATCACAAGGAGAGATCTTCCTCTCACTCTCGCCGCCTTCAGAGATGCATTTGGTGGGGACATGGGAGAAGGTCTTCTCAGTTGCTGCTCCCAGACTCTGGAACTCCTTACCACAGGAGGCAAAACTAGCCCCATCTTTGCTGTCCTTCCACAAGCAAGCAAAGACTTTTTCTTTTCAGGCAAGTCTGCCCGAAAGTTAATATCACAAGGAGAGATCTTCCTCTCACTCTCGCCGCCTTCAGAGATGCATTTGGTGGGGACATGGGAGAAGGTCTTCTCAGTTGCTGCTCCCAGACTCTGGAACTCCTTACCACAGGAGGCAAAACTAGCCCCATCTTTGCTGTCCTTCCACAAGCAAGCAAAGACTTTTTCTTTTCAGGCAAGTCAGAGGGGCTCTGTCCTTCCACAAGCAAGCAAAGATTTTTTCTTTTCAGGCAAGTTGTCTGAGAGGGGCTTTTTAAAATGGATTGTTGAACCTTACTTCATTGAATATGTTTTGATGTTGATTATGTTTTTTGATATTATATTCACTGATCCTTTTAGTATTGTATAATCAATGTTATTAGCTTAAATGTCTTAATTGTAAGCTGTATCTTTAGGAGAAAGGCTGGTAAACAGATAAACAAGCAATGAAAGGTTTCAGACATTGAAATACAAAGCTTAAATTGTAAACAAGGTTCCCTGTAATGTGTGTGCTTGCTCCTTTAGTTCTAGTTGTGATGGAATCCCACAGGGATATGAGGAGTCATTTGGCCACATGAAAATTAGAGAGAATGTTGATTGTAAAAAAAAAAAAAAAATTACTGTATTTTTCGCTCCATAAGACGCACCTTTCCACAAGACGCACCAAATTTTTAGGAGAAGAAAACAGGAAAAAA